TTAAAGGGGAATTCCAGCAAGGGAACCACTTCCAAGGTGCCAATCAGGGTGGATGTAGGAGTGGGCGTGCCGCCCAGTGTCGGCAAGATAGATATGGAGATGTACCCGTCACCACAACAAGAAGAGCATTATTACCCCCAGCATATGGCGGCACAGGAGGACAAATATCAACAATCGCCCGCAGCCAAACCGAGTGTGGTGGTTCAGACACAATCTGGCACCGCGTCGCAGCTGATCGTTCCCATGGAAGCGAATATAGCATCTCATCCCGAGGTACCAGCAATATCAGTAAGTAAATGCAATTAAAATTGAAATTCACAAGATCGCATCTATCTATCTATAGTATCTATCCCAACAGAAATCGACCACCGATTATCAGAGTTTTCGCATCCTGGAACATGTTATCATTCCATCCCAGCAGCCGGGCAGCATTGGCAGCCTCTGCAAACAAGAGCAACAGCAGAAGGCGACTACCGCTGGAGGCAGTGCCCAGTGCTACTGTCGCGTCGTTGCTGTTGGCTTGCGGTTCTCGTCGTTTCTCTTCTGCCGCTGCTGCGTCGATGCTGTCGGCTTGCGGCTCTCGTCGTTTCGTTCTTTTCATTGCCGTTGTTTTGTTGCTTGCTGACTTACGGTTCTCGGCGTTTTCGTCGTCTCTCGTTTGCCGCTGCTGCGTCGTTGTTGTTGGTTTACCGACCCTGAAAAGTCAGTGGCGTCTGCCGTGAAAATAAAAGGCTACGTGGGGCTTAGATACCCCTCGGGCCGTATAATAACAAATTAAAAACGTGTAGCCTTCGTGGCCTTTCCCCCCTCGCCCTTAACCTAAAACTGCAAAGTCAATGCTTAAATCTAGAGAACAAGGAAAAGGTCAAAATCTTAATTATAATAAGGAAACGTAGCTTAGGATCTCTCCAGTAGAAAAATGACGGCGAAATGATGGGCGGAAAAAATGTGGGTGGAGCGGAGCGTACGCGCAGAGCACGCATTAATTTTAAAATATTACTTACTCACTGTCCTGCTGCATAAACTTTAATATAATAATATAAGTACCTTTTCGAGTTTTTTGTTTTTATGTAGTGGACAACGATTAGTAGGACTGATGTTTTCATCAGAGGTCGTTCTGTTTATTTGTCTATTCTGATACCTACGATATTTTTGTATATTAAAAGAGCATGCAAGACATGTACAAGTACAATAACAGAACCGGAGAGAAACAAAACTTTTGGCCATTAGACTTCACTTACACATATGCACACGCACGCGAAACGAACGGATTAAAGGTCGTCCTCAGCTGGAATGAAGGACCACGCCCACCCTTCTTTGGTCATAATCTGCCATCTTCCTCTATACTTCATGACCACTTTTTTTTAGGGCTCGCTACTACAGGGGCTGGGTATCGGAAATCAAGATCAACGTTTAAGGAGACAATTTAAATTTATTCATTAATAGCTAGAATTTAAATACGTTACTAGCACTTACTCTACCATGCGTCCGACCGAAAATTTGAGCCGATCCCGCTCTGGATTTTCAGTTTGCCACCTTGATGAAACGTTTCGATTTAAACACTGGAGTTCTATGACAAAAAGGCACTGAGACCCTCTGAGTCTTAGGGGATAGCACCGATAGACGAATGGTTCATCCGTTTACAAAAAATTATCGAAAATTGCTTTTCTTTTTCTTTTGATCCGCTCGCGAATCCACGACCCGCTGCTTTCCAACGGCAACTAACTCTTTTTTCAGCTCGTTAGGCCAGCCTTGGTCGAATTATTATCGCCTCTGCTTCGCTCTAGGTTCTCCTCGTTTATGGTTCCCCTCTGCTATGCATTCCCCTTGCCAGGTGAATTTATGTTGAAGCGGCGCTCTTTTTGCCTTGAGATTGAACTGAGGATAGGGTGCCAAACCTAAGGGATAGCAAAAGTTCCGACTGCTTAAATACCTGTACTGCTACACCGCTGCAAAGCTCTCCTCCACTTACCCGCGGATCTGGCCCCAATTTAGCAGCTGAATTTTTCTGCTGACTGCTTTTTTTCTCTTTCTAACAAGCTCGCGCACGTTTCCGAATCTAAGCAAAAATGTTATTTTACTCTTCACACTTCACTTCAAACCGCTAGGTTGATCAACGTACCTAATTTCTGAGCTTCGCTAGAAGCTACCAGTTGGCTCAGTGTCCAAGACGAAAAAGAGCGAGCGCCATTCTGCCTCGACACTCGGACCCTATTTTCCCCTTCTCGACCCTTCAACTGTCAACTTTCATTACTCTTTTCTCAGATACGATCTTTCACCTATAGGTGCCGCGTTTATTTTTTCTTCTTCCACCCCCCAGTGCTGTTAGGACGCACAGTTGTACATGAATTTTGGTCTGCCGAGAAGATATCCTATTCCCCGAGTGAATTTCCCCCAAGCTACAGGGCTCTTTACATTTAGCATCTTACACTGCCGATCAATAGAATAGACTCAATGAATTTTTTATGAGAAATTTCTTTTTAGAAATCAGGACACAAATGAATTTAGGAAAATATATATTTTTAATAGTTGGTGAGAAATGAGCCTCGTAGTTTTTAATTCAATGTTCATGTATATTGCGATTGACCTATTTACACGCTCATGATTGTAGTACACCGCCTAAGTAACTATTTTTACGCGCATAGCTGTGTTGTTGTTTTGTTCGTGTCCAAAACATAGCTGTAATGTTCTCACACGCAGCTGCACACGCACACAACGATGTGTACCGTTTGGCATTGGACCGTCGCATCGCCTGATCTTCCAATTCCCTTTTAGCTCGACTTCTTTTCGCGGAGTTGAGTCAGTAGAAATTTCTAGACGAAACCGCCCGCACGCATACTTTGTACCGCCGCAGAAACGATCCCCCCGCTGTTCTTGTAATATACTTGTAAAATAACCACCAATATTAAATAATCAATCAAATAAATAAGCTCAAGATATAAACGATTATACAGTCCACTAATTCATAACCAATAGTCAAGATACCTTTACCAAAAAAATTAAAAATTTGAGTTCGAAATCAAAAGTTTTTTTTTTATATTTTATTTGGTTTTTGAACCTAAAAAAAGTTGACAAAGTTTTTCAGAATCTTATTAAAGTGAAATTTTATGAAGGTTAAAGTCTGTTAAGCATTAAACATTAAGTAATGAATGTAGCCACCTCTATTGAAATGACAGCGTAAATTCGAATTGGCATTGAATCATACAGGGACTTTCAGATAGCCCAGGGATATTTCGCTCCAGGCGCTTTTGATGGCATGTTTCAATTGTGTTCCGGATTCATACACTTTACGCAAAACCATCCCCATACGTTCTCTATATTATTTAGATCTAGAGAGTAAGGTGGCCACTCCAGTAATGCAACATTTTGGACTTCAGTCCACTTCTTGACCACTATAGCCGTATTGGGGCATTGTTTCGCTGAAAAGTCCAATGTAATGTCTCAAGGATGTTGAACAAGTAGGGAAATGGCATTTGGGGTAGCGTAGCTCTTTGTAGCGAATGGCATAGCTCGTTTTTAAGTCCGTCTGCGAGCAAGACTTAATCGCTATCGGATTTTTATATCCGATACTCAAAATGAGTATTGCGGTATATTAGATTTGTAGTGAAAATGGATGTGTATAACGTCCAGAAGGAATCGTTTCCGACCCCATAAAGTAATATATTCTTGATCAGCATCAATAGCCGAGTCGATTGAGCCCTGTCTGGCTATCCGTCCGTCCGTCTGTCCGTCCCTATTAGCGCCTAGTGCTCAAAGACTATAAGAGCTAGAGCAACGATGTTTTGGATACAGAATATTTCAAAACTTCGCCTCGCCCACTTCCGCCCCCACAAAGGACGAAAATCTGTGGCATCCACAAATTCATAATAGAGAATGACCGTATCTATGAGACTGCTGAATCTCGATCAGATCGGATCATTTTTATAGCCAAAAGGATCAAATTAATTTGCAGTGGCTACGCAGCGCCCGACGACATGTTCAGACACGTTTTCTGTGTCTCCCGCACGCACACATTGTCCCTCAATGTAGCCATACTGACTATGTATCGGGTATAAATATAGAGTTGCGGTCGCTGCAGCAACTCACAACGTTCCTCCTCGCTATAAATATAGCCGGTCGCAGCAACAACTCAACGTTCCCCCTCTTTTCTAAGTGCGTCTACGACCGTTCCGTGATACTATCGTTTTATATTAAATTTACCGGATTTTCTTTTCAGATCCTACTATATTAATTCTTTTAAATCCGTTGTCACAGCACTATGTCTTACTGTAGCCTCGAACAAATTGTGATTTCCTTCAACCGTTGAACCGTTCCCTTGTAGAGATTAAAAGAGCATATAGAGCGACCAGGGCACGTCGAAGAGCTCGAACGTGTAAAAATACCTTATCTCAAACCTTATGGTTATTGCTGGTCAGCCATTTGTACTCATCTTCGATGAAAACCACATCCCATTGCTCTCGACCACCACGCTGGAAAGTGCTAGCAATAGCTGGCTTCAAAATGGACGGGGCTAGCTTCCGTTTCCTTTAATTGTGTGTGGTGCCCATAGCTCAAGCACTTCCGATTGATGGTGCCCGTTCCAAACTGGGCTTAAAAAAATAATCGCGGCCTTAAGTATCGTGCTGCAAAGGACTATGGGTATGGGCCTAGCAGACAACCTAATGGCTACTGTCTGCGATGGTAGCCCAGCCAATGGGCTAGCCGTTTCAAATGGCAATTGGCATTTTCCAGGTTTGTGTGGTTTCACCCATCTGGATAGGATTTTTTTCGGCAAAACAAAAGCGCCCTTCTTCGAGGTATTTTCAAGAAAATTATATGATTCGAGCTTCACGCTAACGAATCGGAGGGACGTCTTCGCTAATTTGCCAGATTATCACCCAACAGTCCCCGAATATCATCAACATTAAACACCAGAGCTGTTCAACATCGAAAACATGGCTGAACATTTTTTTCGTTTCCGCGGAACCCTATTTTATTTATTTTATTTTATTTCCTGCTAGTGTACAGTGCTGTTACATAGGGATTTATAAAGATTTTGTAGGCAGCGATGGCCGCTGTTGATGGGGCGACTCATCCATGGTGTTCCACCAGATCGACCCCTGCAGAAGGTTTGCTGGAAGCCCTAGGTCCAGCGATGCAAATGACGAATACCTGGAAAAAGAAAGTACAAATCGACGATTAGTGTTACATTTATTGTTAATAACTTGATACTTCCAGACACCCAGACGGAACCTTTATACGAGACGGTTGCTGCACAAGTTCGCAAGGTGCTTTGGGCCCCACCCTGAAAGTAAGTATAGTGGATTAGGCCTATTGGGGACACCACTTTACAAAAAAACGCACGCGGGTGGTGTGGAATGAGTTTTTCATATTTCATGAATAAATATGAAAATATATATTTTCTTTCAATACTTGTTTCTTGTTTCATTTCATTTCAATGCATGAAATGTATTCTCATTTCAGTATGCAGAGATTTTGAATCATTTTTAGCTATGCTTACTGCTTACTTATTTATTTTCTTCGATGGAGCCATTAAAGCTGAGCTCGATTCTTTGGCTCGGTGCGCGAGAACATCCGAGGCAGGGCCAAGCGCCGCCCTGCAATAAAAATATCGAACGAATCGTTCGCACCATCGGTTCAGTTCCCAGCCATCGTAGAGCAGGGCGGCCAATGCAAAGCTGTGGGAAGGTGGAGTAGGATATTGTTGGTTAAGAATTTGGGCAGATATCGTGGCTTTCCACTCAACTTGTTGATGTGACACTGAAAGTCTGCTGTCGACCTCATCGTGGCCATTGTCACAGTTGGTTGTACCATCGCAGACCAGAGCCTTGTCGCTGCCCTCGCCTGACTGTCCGCTGAACTGATACGCCGGCTGTCTTTTCGTCACAGCGCCTGGAGGCGGATATACAGTCGTTGTTCATGTCACTATTCCCGCCACTTAAAATTATCTAGCCTACAGGCCGGATGCACGCCGTTCCACTCCGGTCTTGTCGTCTTGCCGGACACCGGCAGCGGCACATTCGGGCAGTCTGTCGTAGCTGGGGGCATGCAGAGCATATCCTTGTCGACATCAGTGTGATTGGCCCGTCTTGATCAATGTCCTCTAGTGTTCCAGTCGCTCCAGTACACGTAGTCCTAGCTGTCAACCAGTCGTCTCGTCTCCAATCGAATCTGAGCTTCCGGCCATGATTATAGCTCGGATCCGTCGTATGGAGTCCGAGGGAAGGGGGCGACCTCTGTCCGTCTGAGCACCACTTCCAGGATGCGCGCCCTCGGCATTGTCCACTCTACACAGGAATTTTCCTTTTTTCCGCCACGTGTCGACGAAAACAGCTGTTCGGCTGCACTAGCACCGCCTCCTCGGCACCCTCCTGGACAACGTTCTTTTTCTCTTATTTTGACGTCATTTTTGATAAATACCGAAAATTCCTCGATATATTTTGCACTGTTTTATTGCGCCATCTGTTGATAGTTACATGAACTACCTTAACACTGCGATTAACATGCGTATAACATTCTCCTCGTTATTTCAAACTCTGAGCGCCATCTCACGGAATTTTGCTCCATCTCCTATTAACGAAGAGAATGTTATACGCATGGGCATGGAGCAAAAGTCCGTGAGATGGCGCCTCTGAGTTTTGAAAATTGCATCCTGGATCCTGGATGTCTATTCAAATATAAATTTTCGTTCTTCGTTCTTTGTTTGCAGGATTGCCAGTCTCCCTTGAATAAGTTCTAAAATAAGATACTTATTCAAATGCCAATTTCGATTGAAGGTTTTTTTATAAATGGCTTGGCAAACATATAAAGTCTGCATTTTGGGTCTCCACTAGCTAATCAGCCGACAAACAACTAGCATTAATTAAAATCGCTTCAGCAGTTATCGAAACAAAACAAACAACGAGCCGCCCTCAGGATTAACACCAGATGAGATCGGTTACAGGTCAGGGAAACAACAGCAAACCAGCAACAGAAGCACAGCCAACACACACAGGAGCATCATCCCTTGGAAGATCATCATTAACATTTGCGCAAATCCTCGAGGCGCCGTCGACGCGGCTACTGTTAGGCCCTAGCCTCGAGAAGGATGCGGCTGTCAGTTTGCTCCGCTTTCCATTATCGGGGCGTTAATTACTTGAGCGTTGTCTTTGCCCTGCCCTACCCTGTCCGTCTGCGTCTTCGTCTTCGTCTGCGTCTGCCCGTCTAGATCTGCACTTTAAGATTCCGCCGATGCCGAAAGTCTGCGCTACAATGCATTTCCATTTCTATTTACATTTCCATTCGCATGCCCATTCCCATTTCCATTTAGAATTCACTTTGTTTCACTCTTTGCCCCCCTGTATTTCCTTTCCCTTCGCATGGCATCCTTTTTGATTATTTTCATAATCTGTGCCACTTGCGATGGCTGGCATTTGATAAACCAACTGAAACTGATACTTTTGCTCTCCTTAGGTACTGCAGTACAGTATTGTATGATGGTACGATGGTATGGTATGCGTGTTCCTCCCCCCCTCCGGCATTGTTCCGCCGGGCGGCAGGTAAATGGTGGGGCCTGGGCCGGGGCAGGCAGGTGGGTGGTCCACCAGTCTTCCAGCCAGGCCATAGGGCAAACTGCACAAACTTTCTAACGGTATTTTGGCGTGACGCAGGCCATTTGTAGGCCGACTAGGCCTTTCCGTTCAGAATACGGTGCTACCGCTCTTTATTCTCCGCTGGTTCCGCTGGTGTCCTTGTTTGAAGGTTTTCTAATCAAACATTTCTGCTGGCTGTTGCTCACTTTACAGTTTCCATTCGCAATATTCAAACACACACACACACAGACACAGACCGTATTGTATTGCTATTCCGTTTTGGTGGCTAATTTAAAAACTTTTCTTATCAGTTGATGGAATCTAAAATTGCATTTTTATGGCACTTCCTTCCTTTCTACATTTCATTCCGCTGTCGCTATTTCTCTCTCTCTCTCTCTCTCTGTCTATCCTTTGACCCGCCTATCGACACTTTCGTTTCAGCAAAGTTTCTCATTTGTTGGCGGATTCGTTCAATGCAAATTTCTGTCCAAAGTTATTTCCCATTATTGCTTCGATTATTATACCCTTGCAGAGGGTATTCTGATTTTGTTCAGGTGTGAAATGCACCCTACATATTGTAGATTCAAGCAGGGTTATACTATGATCAGCATCTAGATCGAAGCCTCCAGTATTGGCTCGCTTTATAGCAATTTTTAGCAAGTCCTAGATTATTATGAAGATCGGATCACAAAATCATAGACCTATTCCTGTTCTTCACTTTGTGCCCCTCTACTTGAGGTAAGTTTTGAGGCTTTGAATCGGTAGCCTAATTAGGATGGGTCCGGATCAAAGAAAAGAATTAACAACGTCAAAACGCAATTGTTATAGTTGCGAAGGGACAATGTCACGCTGATTAAATTACAAGTTCCCAGGCATCTCCGTGGCAATCAAAAGTACCCGAAGATCGCTGACAAATGCCTCTTCATTCGTTCTGCGTTCGGGAGATCTGGAATCAATTAAAGATTGCATTGTTTTTCGGGACTACCGAACCACTACTACTGACCCCTTGACCCTTTGGCCTTGTCCGTTTGAGGGGCAAAGTGAAATTGGGCCATGTCTTCGTCTTCATCCTCTTCCAGTCACTGACAAGGGTTTAGCAATCAACAATCCTGCCGGCTACCTGATGCTGATGGCCAGCAACAATGGGAAGTGGCAGCTGTCCATTGTGCCACGCCCACTGATGGCAAATGAGTGCGCCCATTTATGCAAATTTAATTAGCATCAACTGGGCGCAAAAGGAGACCGTGATGTATGGTTAGGCCCCCGCCTAGTCGTTCCCCCCCTGGACAAATGCGCCCGATCAGGCGCTCATAAATCAATTTAAATGGCCATCTCACCAGGCGGAAGAGTGGAGTGGGAGCGGAGGAGGAGGAGGAGGTGGATCGCCTGGCACGATGGTGAATGTTTGAAATTGCCTGTAATTATAGTGAAAACACTTGGCACACAGCTCCCATAGTCGTAGCCCCGTGCCCCTCTAGCACAGCACATCTGAGGACTAGACAAGGCAGGCAGCAAAATTGATTTAAAATATTTTTGCCAGCATCGTGCCGGGACCACATGCACACGATCATGTCCGTGTCCACGTTGTGTGGCCATAATTCAAAATGTATGTCTTTTGAAATTATTTTAATGTCTCTAATGGAACTCCCCCTCCTGGCAGCTGTCCGGGGCACCCACACGCGTCGCCGCAACGAGACTTGTGCACTTGTACATAAATAATGAGAATGTTAACTTCATTGAAGCCTCTGAGGCTTCCCCCAAATGCTGGCTTTCCACAGATCGGAAACAATCGCATCTAATTGTGGCTAAAGCTCAATCAGTGATCATATATCAACGGACCCCAATCGATTCGAGATAGATCCCCCCACAATGCCAATTGGCACTACGGTCCCGGACCGCATGCAGTGGACACCTTTTGAAACGGAGGAAGATCAGGAATGCCAGCGAGCAATCACAAGAAATGAGCGCGCACTCGACCCCATGGGTCTCGTCTCGTCCCGTCCCGTCTCGTCTCCCCACCTCATCTCAATCTGGGGCGATAAATATCTCACTGTTGTAGCTACAAGTCTTCGACTTGGATCAGCTTCTACTTCTACTCCTCCGGCCCCCTTCCTCCAGCTGCTGTCGCGGAGTCAATCGGTCGTCTGTGGAACCATTAAAGCGATATCATGTCGAGCATTGGTGTAAGCAGAAATGTCCAAGTACAACATCGATTACAAGATCCCATGCGGAGCGAAGCACGATACCTCGGTCTGGGGAATAGCCAATGATTGAGACGATGGCTCGAAATGGATACCTCGGCCAGGAGTCTCCGTTTCCGATCTGATTAGTTTATATTGGAGGCTTTCCCACACCCAGGACACAGGCGAAAGCTCTTCATTGGCTCAGGCTCTGGCTCCTAGGGTCACCAAGGCAAACAAATCTGCAACACCTCTTGCCACCTGCGCGGCTGAATAAATACTCCAGCAAGCTGGACCACACGTCCCAGACTCCTCTCTGGCTTCTCTCGAGACTCCGCAACTCCTGGACTCCTACTTCGACTCCGACTCCGACTACGAACCCGAGTCCAGAGTGATACGAAAACAAATTGAAATTGGCATCCCGCGCTTGTTGGCCGCTAATTTATTGGCCATTCGACTTGTGTGCCTAGAATTTTAATTGAATATTAACACCTTTGGCAGACGCTTCGTCCTGGACCAAGCGGGAGTTCGATTGCCGGGGGTTGGGGCGGGGTGGAGACCGTTGCTGTGTCGGACGGGGCGGGCCAATGGTCAAGTGCCCCAAGCGTTGCACACAATTCAATTTTTGTGTGTCTTTGTGGCATTGATTTATTCAACGGTTCCAATTCGAAGCGAAATCTCCTCCGTGTGTGGGTTTCCTTTCGCCTCTCGACACCAATTCTGGTAGCGAGAGGAAATTGGTTATTTATAAGTGTCAGCGCTGATTAAATTGGCCCCCAGATGGAATGGTGGAACGGAATCCCCACAATCCAATTGAAGTAGGGGCATTAGCACTCTCTGATCCTTACCATTCAATATGCCAACTCCTTGGGGATGTCCCAGTGCGTTGATATACAAAGAGCGTACCCAAATGCAAGTGAAAATTGTTTTTAACTGTTAATTAATATGAAAATTATTTAAATATTCGCAGCAGGAACCGGACTGGACCGGACCGGACCGGGCTCCCAGCAAACTCTGGAAGGAGGAGATGGCAAATCAAAATCTAATCTGAGGGCAGCGATCAGAACGAGATCAGCGAATTCCGCACCACCATCCGCGTGATGCGGCATCAGCAGGCATTGGGGGCTGGGCGCGCTATTATTTATTGACACTTGAAACCAAAGGGGAAGATGAGCCGGCCGCTCGGCCAGTCCAAGTCCAGGCCGGGATTGGCGGCCGGGCCAAGGCGTTGCCGCTTGTGACAGCAGATGGTGTCGGCATTCCAGCCAGGCACCTTCTCATCGTCAGCAGCGGGTCTCTGCACGCGACAGCGACGCCCGAACCTAACCCAGAAGGGAGGAGACGGAGACCCGAGAGCCTGGATCGGACCGGACCGGACCGCCCGCCTGGCTCCTCGACACTCTACTCGACTGTTTGATTTATGCTCGCGTAATTGTTGGTTTAAACGTTTTCGCAAAATGGGGCAGGGATGGGGCTGGTCATGGGAATGGGCCACGGGGAGGACGACGTTTATGACACCACAACGAAATGTGAGGCATGTCCAGGGTTGTCGATCCT